TCTACTCAGTTTTGAGAAGGGAAACGGTGAAGCTCTTGATGTTAATTGTTATTGGTTTATTGTAAGTGGCTATTGTTCGGGACGAACAATACTAAGGAGGGGGCAGTGTTGCGTCAGCGAGGTCACGTGACTAGTGTCACGCCACCTCTCGAACCTTTGGGAATAGTCGGGATATTACTTGATATAGGGTAGTCTGGTATATATATAAGAGGGTGACAACGTGACGGAACAATGTGTGTAGGTAGTGAGTAATTGAACTGCAGTGAGGAAGTATTGTTGAAGTTAACGTCATTATTATAGTTTGTTATAGCGCGACTGTTGAAATAAGTGTCTCGGTAAAGTTATATTCAGAAAGAATAAACCAGTTTTATTAAGTTAGGACTTGTGTCGCTAAAGTTTCGTCAGAACGAAGTTACAAAAAATCAATTAACAAATGGAGACGTAACATTATGGATATACCAGTTAGAAACATGGGAGCTATACCATTACATTCTGCTTAAAAAGCTCTTGAAAATGAATACAAACACAGAATATTTACAATATTTTAGGTTTATATACTTTGTAGATTATATGGTCTTCTTCAAGTTCTTGGTACTCTGATACCACTTTACACATTGTTACATACTGTGTACAGAGCAAATTGATGTAGGTAGCTGTCACTGCTGATTTCATGTTTCTTAATAATTTGAAATGTGTTAGTGTTTTAATCATAACTGTGATGACTTTTCTATTATTTCATTCACTGCTTTCAGATATTTTTCAGTGATGCCATCAGGATATTCTAATGCTTACTAATCCCCAACAACTGTATCATTTCAATTTGTGTTTTGTTAGAAGTATGAGCATTATTCTGTTTCAGGTGCCTTGCTCAGCTTAAGCTTGGAAATCAAAGTGCATGCACGATGGTACATAATGATGATGATAGTGTAAATGCGAATGAGAAGAACACTGAATCTGTAACTGCTATCACATTTCTTCAGCTTATAGCATTGTACTAGTAGACTCTAGTTCTAGTGAATAATTTCATACTTTTGAAATCATGGTGCAACTACACCTACATTCTCACAGAAGAAACATTTAAAGCTATTTTAGGTTTAGTATCCCCCTCCTAGCAGTTTCCAGCTGTAAAATGGGGTTGAAATGGAAGTTGAAGAAATGAACTTCTATCAAGATTAGAAAGAAAACATGGAAAATAAAAGATCTTTTGCTAGTCCTCTGTTAATCACAAATGGCAAGAAACAGTACAGAGAAGAGAAAAGAGAGAGCAATGTCAAGAGCAAGAACGTAATGCCATGAAAAATACATTTGTTACTGCATCCAAGAAAGAAATCACCAGTGTTTTGGATATTCAAAATAAAGACCAAGAAATTACAAGTAATCCTTGAAAATATTAGATAGCATACATTTTGAAATTTTTAATTTATATAACTCAAATATTTTTCTAATTTAAAAAATATACATTGAAATGTTACACGAAATATTTTTGAAAAACTTCTCATGTTTAAAACATGAATGAATAAGATGTTAATGTAAACAGATTTGCTGTTATTAACGTTAAATAGTAAACTACAGTTATATAGAGGAGGAACAAATGTTATGTGGACAACAGTATCAACCACCAGGTCAGAAAGGCAATCAGAAAATGCAACCATATCAAGAGATTAGCACTGAAGATGACATGGCAACTATGTAAAAGCACACAAGACTAAGTAAGCTCAAGATACAACCAGAATTACATGAAACTTTGGACAAACTCAATTTATTAGCTATCAGATCATCATCTTAGTACCAAATAACTTGTTTGGAAGGAGTTTTAATTTTTTTCTTTGTGAGTGTGAATAAATTTATAATGATACTCTATCAACACCTAAGATTGTATGCATTACTAACAAGGTTATGACAGTGATAACATTAGCAGAGATAGCAAAGGAAATTCAGTGTTCTCATAACAAAGTAAGCATAGTGTAATCTAATGATGGTTAAACAAAACAGGGTGCAGAAAGTTTTGTGGTTCAAGGAGACACAATAAATGGTAAACATAGGCGATTGCCAATTTTGTCAGTCGATTCTAAAACATAAGAATTTGATTCACTTGAAAGTAATAGCTTACGAGATGATGGTGATATGCAATGGAATTCCCACCAAGAATTAATTTTCTACAGTCAATTTTGTGCTGAAAAAACAAAAATTGCACATTTCAGAGGTGATGTTGGAAGGATCACAGTACAAGTTTTGTCATGGAATCACTTACTGTATATGCTGAACAATACTTGATTTACCTAGTCTTGTAGTGGAAAGGCCTCCTACTAATACTAGCTGATGGATATGAGCAACAAACGAACATCTCTTGCTAAGAGGATAGGCTCACCAGTCATCCTGATGATTATAGGATAGAATTGTTTCCATCAGAACAGCTGGAAAATGTTTGCTCCTATCAACAACCTTTCAGAGGAATGAACCATTGGTTCTATAAGATATGAACTAAAAGTATACAGCATCCAACAAATCTCATTGTGAAACACAAAAATAAAAATGCTGAACTCATTTAGAAATGTCCTGCAGTCACATTTAACAATTTCAGAAAGATTCTACAGAATTGAAAGACTCAAGACTGCAATGGAACAAGATGCAAAAAGAACTGCTAAAAGACAGACTAACTACAAAGAAAATGGAAAAAGATGACCCTTTACTAAGCCAACCCAGGTTGATCAGTTCCTCGCTGCCAAAAGAGAAGATGAAAAGTCACAAAGAATGCATCTGTAGGTCAGGCTTCCCCAAAACACAAACTTGTTTTTCCAAAAACATCAGAAGTCTTTTGCTTACAGAAAAACAAGAAAAATCTGAAATCAAAGGAATAAGGTTCCACTCTGAAGACTTGTATGAACAAGTAACAGGTGACAACTCTTCCAAGACAATTGTTACTTATAACATTTTGTAGTTTGTAGATACAAATATAAACAATTTAAGAGAGCAAATGTTACTGCATATTTAATGTCAATTTTTGAACAAGTCCTAATCATTGTAGACACCTAATGCTTATATTCATTTTGTATGTAAATTGAAGCTGAATACCAGCATTCATACCTTGAGTTTTTTCTTTAAAACTCAAGAAATGCATTAGGATGAAAAAGTTTGGAAAAATATATAATTTCAAAACTTTTGAAGGCCTATGTATATAAGGGTAGCACCCAAGTGAAATTATTGTATACAATGTTTTATTTTCATTGGTTTCAGCTACATATTTTCAACAGGTAACCCAGTTTATTTCAAGAAATATCCTATTTATCTCCCCCACTTGGTGTTGCAAATTGATCTATATTCCTTTGTTCTCCAATGTCATTAAGTGCAAGGAATATCCCCATCTTGGAAATTCCAAATACCAAATCTGAACACATCTGAGTGTATAACACTTTTGTCAGACAAGGTTGCTTTGTAACCATCTGAAAAGTGTTTCAATTTTCAGAGACATCACACAACTCCAAATCACTAACATCAAAATGTAGTTCTAATACATGATATTTCATCATGACTTTATACATGCTGTGGTTGCCATGGGACTTGCTGGTTTGCATATTCAAAATTGTTTTAATATAATGTAATCAATATCTGTGTATAATAATGGCTGGAGACAGCTTGAATGGGTAATGAAGAAAAACTTTAATATAAGTTTAACATAACAGCAAATTTATGACAAAACCTTGTCGAAACATTGTACATTTGCTGTTATGTTAAACTTGTATTAAAGTTTTTCTTCATTACCCGTTCAAGCCGTCTCCAGCCATTATTAGTCTCAAAGTGGGTTCCTCGTCATCAAATATCTGTGTATATATATCCATAATCAGTAATTATATTTCAAATCAGTTACTGCACTCAAACCTGTCTACATAAAAAAATACTAAATATTAAGCTTTATCAAAGACAAATTAGAAACTTAATAGAAGCTTTCTAATCAAATGCATAATGGAACTAAATATATATCTAAATAAAAATGTTTACATTTAAAGTAGTGAAGTAAATTACAAATAGTATTGTGCAACATGTTTCCTTAGTTAACTATGAAATATACTGTTGTTCCATAGAATCTTAAACTCACCATTGCTTCACTTACCTCAGCCATATAAAAATCATGCCCTCCAAGCCCAATACCAACATCTAGAACTTTTTCCCCTGCTTTCAGTTTTAGCTGACTAACTATATTCTGCAAAATCAAATCAAAACACTATGCAAAATATGCTTCTATCAAACATTGCCAAATCTACTATCAATGCATTAATAAACAAATTTCAACATAAAACATATTATCAACAAAAATCTTGTGAACTTACTCATGAGTTGTGTTTTATGATAAAATCAGAGCAGAAATCTGTGACTATAGTCTTGTGACAACATTGTCTTTACACACACAACAAAAAAGAAAGGCTCAAGTGTTAATACGCATAAAATAAAACTGTTACCTTCCTGACACAAACCTGCATGGATGAGAAATTTCATGGATTTCAAATGCCTTTTAAATGAAAAGGGGGCAATGTTTTGACTTTTACATTGAGTCCTTTACCTGAAGAAAGGCTTCAGCATAGAAACTGAAACATTGTCTCCTTTTCATTTAACAGGTAGTTACAGTCCATTAAAGTTCTCAAAGGCAAAACTGCTATGAAACAGTACGATACAGGGTTCTCAAGAGAACCCAATAAGAGTTCCAGAAATACGTGAACTTCCCCAAAACATCTTAAATTTAGTGTTCAAAGTTTCCAAACTTTAAATGTTTTATGTATTAGTTGTGATTCAAGAACCAGATATTATTCCAGAAATTCTACTGTTTATTCTCAGAATTATATTATTAAACATATTTTCAGTTACTCACCATTTGTAACCCCCTTATCATCCAAAACACATTTTGCTGATACTCTCTTTATTTATATGTCCTTTAATTCAGGCACAGGGATTGGTTATGTGAGAATTAATGATGCATTAAACTTGTGGTGACATAAACAGGCAGAAAAAATACTATGTCCTGCTTCTGCAGTGTAAGATTTTTGGGGTACCAGTCCAGAAATGTATTGTGAACTAAGTGTTACTGATTATTACTATTTTAGATTATTCCAGGTATTTAAGTCCTATGTAAAAATAACTGATTAGCTAATTCCAGTAATCACCTTGCTTTAATTATGAAAGGCCATACTCGAGAGGCAGAAGCCTCTCTTAATCCAAATTAGTAAGCACTCAGAGAACAGAAAAAAAAAGTGACCAAAACAGTCCCCATGGATGGGTTTAAAAATAGTGCAATTGGAACATCCAAAAAGAAATGAATAAATAATAATTAAAAAGTAGATGATCCCTATTGTGAATGGAGCTGATACATCTAGTGATAACAGTAATCATGTTTCCGATATCTCCAATGTCACACATGCAAAGGTGGGAAAGGTACCTGTCAAGACATCAATAGCCACCAGGTGGCACTGAAAGCTTTGTAGTCAGAAATAGAAGCAGACAAACCCCAGTAATAAACAAAGTACATGAAGAAAAGAAATGAGCCAAATTGTAGAGGAGTTAGAGAAAGACAAGAAACCAAATTCCAAAAGCATCAACTTGTAAAGAAAGAACAACTAGTTTAGTAAACTACCAGGGAGGAACTACTGCAAGTGTATGACAATGTTAGAGCTACCCAAGAAGAGAAAACAGCTTTATTAACAAAGGACCAACAGCCAGCCTTGAGAACTATCAATGACAAATACTGTTGTGTAAGATGTACAAAAAAAAAGAAATGGAAAAGTTACATCTTGTTGAAGTTGATGATATCAAAGATAACAGCAAGGAGATTGAATGTATTTGGGTTTATATTAGTGGATATAGTGGGAGAAGGCTTAATTTAAATTTGTTACAGATCACTAGATGAAACTGATAAAATTAATGAGAAACTCTACACTGAGATTAAGATTTCAGTTGTTAATAAGGTAATAATTATGGGAGATTTTAATTTCACAAATATAGCTTGAGAATTGTCAGAGTCAAACCAAGAAGTAGACAGGTTTTTAGAAACCATTCACCAATTGATCAGTGTACCTACAAGGAAGAAGTCTCATCTAGATTTATTGTAACTTCTAATATATAAATGGTTGAAATGGTGAATTTTAGGAAACATTTGGGGCAAAGTGATCATTGCTCAATTAGGCTTGATGTTTTCCTGCTTATGGATATCATGAATAACGAGAGTTTGTTAAAAAATTTCAAAAAGCAAAATTTGAAGGGATGTGACAAAAATTATCTGATGTGAATTGAGCAACTGAATTAACTGTAGATACTAATCAAATGTTCCTTATAGAAAAATATGGCAGCTGCAAGTAAAAAACTGGTTGACTCACAAAGGGTATAAGGAATAAAATTAAAGAAACACATTATATATTTAAGAATTTTAACCCTATCTCTATAGGTCTTCCTGTGGTCATGGGTCAAAGGCTATGTCATCGTATTTGTAGACTCGCATTCAAAATTTTATTGAATTACTATTTTATGAATATATATATATATATATCAATAAGTTTGGTATGAAATTGTAGATTATAATTCAAATTTTAGTATGATTCATTTCTTAATTTAAAAGTAAATATTAAAAAGAAATCCTAAATATAGATTTCTGTGTGTCACGTGGTATGTTGAATGCAGCATTGGTTCAAATTAGATGTTTGTGATATCCAAATACAAAGTCTATAGTTTCTGGCAAATTAGGAACTCAACATACCAATATTGACAAGCTAGAATATCAAATAAGAACCATCTATATTTTCTATTTGCTGAGATATTGCTACATGTCCTGAACAAACACAGTGGTCCTGCCCACCTCTTTTCATTTTTGGAAAGACATACTTACATACACTTACTTCTGTCTACAACATGTGAATAAACAATCAAAAGCTCAGAATGTCCCCCTTAGTGGCTTTCTCAGACTAACTGAAGTATTCAGCGGCAAATTCGTTCTTTTAAAGCTTCGATCCAAAAAGGTAAAGTGAAACTTTAGTGAGCTCAAAATTTCATATTTTTTAGACCCAAATACAGCTTAGTTACTAAGTTTGATAAATTATAGTGGAATTCTATGGTACTGATATAGTGATTTATTATTATTTTTTGGTCATTTCAAAATGTATATTTAAAACTTTAAAAAAAATTATTTCATTTCATATACTTCATGGGCAAATTTTTAAAGGCTTAGCAACCTACAGCAAACAATAAACAAGTTCAAAGTTCATAACTAGAAGAGATAATTATTTTCTATAACTCTTTAGTTACTGTTCTATGTTTAAGAAAAATAACTGAAATTTAACAACTTATTTTAAAAAGTAATAATGTATATACATATGTAATGTATTAAAACTGAAATGTGACTATTTTACAAAATACTAGTCCACCAAAACACAGCCAAGACAGGTCACTTTGTAAAGGCCAGTATTATATTCTTGGATATGGTAACATGAGTGCACATGTGCTGCATCATTGCAACTTCAATAATGTTAGCCAGGCATGGCTGAAAGGTCAATATAATAAATATATATATAAATGTGTAATGTTATGAAATTTAAGCCATTTACACTAAACATTTGTTATAATCTAGAGTCATTCTAGAAGGAAAAAAAGCATAACTTACATTGAGGTTACAAACTCGGTCAAATCGAATTAACCCATACAGATACAGTAGTGAAAATAACAGATAAAATATAAAGTTTTTTCTAAAATAAGTTTGATAATTATCTGGAGGTTATAAAGATTTCACATGTGCAATTTAAAGATGTTCTAATGCATAAAAGTAGTTTTACTTTTAAAACCAAAATTACCTTGCATGTTGGATAGTCAACATTCTGAAAGATAAGATTTTATGAGAAATTTGTAAATTAAAATAATTTTATTACTTAATTTAAAAACTTGATATTTTGTGTACAAAAGCCTTGTAAAGTTTACCAATAACTTGCAAAATTCTGTAAAGATATGCATACATTATCAAAAATCATAGCATAATTACTCTCATGGATACTTTCTTGGTTATGGGCTGGGTGGAATTGACTGCTATGATGGAAGATTTAGAGAACTATAGAAGACCAAGAGAGTTGGTCAAACAGGACATTATGAAATCAAAAATGGTACATAAAAAGGTTGGCTGAAAATGTAAAAATATATAGTAAGGATTTTTTAAATATATTAAGGTTAAGCAGAATGTTTGGATGGGAGTAAGGCCTTTGAGGGATGATAAAGAAATGATCATTTCTGATTATTATAAGATGGCTGGGTTATTTAATTTTACTTTTACTTCAATTTTTACTAATGAAGATTCAAGCAATATTCCTCATCCTGAACAGTTGATAAATGGAAACAAATTTAACAAGGGTTTTCAAGGAGGTTGAGAACTGGATATGTGAGCCACTTGATACTATTTATTGTAATTCTTTGAATAGTGAGCAGGTGCCAGAAGATGGGAGGCTGGCTAATGTTGCTCTTCTTTTCAATGTTAATGATAAAAAATGTCTAGGTAATTATAGGTCTATATGTATTACATCTGTGGTGGGAAATGTTTTTCAAAGTCTAATAAAATATGCTTTGCAAAATCATTTACCAAAGTTTAGAATTTTATTGGATAGTCCAGATGACTTCGCAAGGGGAAAATCTTGACTTTCTAATTTCAGTGACATTCTTTAATAAAGGTATTGCTTATGTAGATGAGGACAAGGGTATGGATTTGGTGTACCTAGATTTTCAGAAAGAATATGACAAGGTGACACATTAAAGGCTTGTTAAAAAATTATCTATGCAGATGTGGTGGATAAGTTAGCTAGTTGGATAGAAATATGGCTGGATGCAAGAAATCAGAGGGTTGTTACAAATGGAGTTCAATCAAATCGGATTAATGTTAGAAGTGGGATACTTCAGTGTTAAGACCATCATTTTTTATTGATATCATAGACATAAATGAAAGACTGGTCAAAAAAATTACTTAAACTTGCTAATTATATTAAGGTTTTGGGTGTGAGAAGAATGCTGTTTACAGAACTTAGAAAGTTGGGTAAGTAAAAGGCAAATGGTTTTTCATTATAATAAACTCCAATTTATGCATGTGGTTTATTCTAATTTGAATTATAAATACACTTTTTGATGGGAATAACTATCTTAAGTGATGTTGCTAGTGATAAAGCAAAGAGGACTTTAGGTTGTATGTACAGAAATATTGAATTAAAGTCTAAAGAAGTTATAATTTCATTATACAGTTTACTGGTTAGGTCACATTTGGAGTATTGTATTCAGTCTTGGGCTCCTTATCCTTAGGAAGGACACTGAATTGTTGAAGAGTTAAAGGAGATTTTACTGAGGTGTTTAAAATTGTAAACTCAACTTATGGTGTTGATAAATTATCTTTTTATCATACTTTTTAACACTGGCAGTGACATAAATAAGTATTTAAGTTTAATATTTTTTAATTTTCAAATAAATAAAACTTTTCATTTAATAGATATCATATCAGTTTTTAACTATAACATGGAAACTATCTTTACCCTAGGGGCTTGCAGACCACAGGTTAAGAACCAAAAAACTTGGGGAGGGGACATAACATAATTTTTTGAGACAACATCGACTTATTGGTCCATTTCAGCTGTTCCATCCTCTAAACTAAATTAAAATGATTTTAAAAAATACATAAAAAATCTTAAAGCCAGCCTTTTTCATTCATATACCTATCTAGCATTTTCTTAAATTCACTTAAATTTACTGCCTCTACAACACCTAAAAGGAACCCATTCCAAAGGCCAGCCACCCAGTTAGAAAATTGAAACTGTCTTAGCTGAAGATGACTCCTACCTTACCAAAATTTATTTCTGTGGCCCCTAGTCCTACTATTCTCACTTAAATATGAAAAAAGTTGATCCATCAACACTATCAATTCCCTTTACAATCTTAAACACCACAATCAGATACCCCCCTAACTCTTCTTTTTTCAAGAGAAAACAATTTGAGAGATTTCAGCATCTCCTCATATGACAACCCCTCCATCCTAGACACCATTCTAGTAACCCTTCTCGGAACCCTTTCCAACAACTCAATGTTTTTCCTAAGGTAAGGAGCCCAAAGGTGAACACAATATTCCAAATGTGGCCTAACCAGTGACCCATACAAGGAAAGTATAACTTCTTTGGACTTGTATTTAATATTTCTTAGCTACAACCTAAAAGCCTATTTGCCATACCACTAGCAACAGCACACTGCTTGGATGGCTTTAGAGACTGATCAACTATTACACAAAGATCCCTTTCCTTCATAACACTATTAAGGTTATTCCAATCCAAATGATACTTATAATTCAAATTATGATAACCCACATGCATTATTTTGCATTTATTATAATTAAAACCCATCTGCCATTTATTTGCCCAACTCACTAAATGATCTAAATCCTTTTATAAATCAGTAGCATCCTCTTCACAGGTAGCAACACCCAAGACCTTAATATCATCTGCAAATTTAAGTAATTTATTGACCATTCTTTCATCTATGTCAAAAAGACCAAAGGTCCTAAGAGGTTCTCCACTTGTTACATTAATCCAGTTTGACTGAACTCCATTTGTAACAAC